CCGACCACTCTTACATTTTTCTTTTCTTGACCCCTTCGCTACGGAGGACTGCTACTACCGCACCGTTGTGTGAGGATTAGTGCATACCACACATACAGTCTATTCACCATGCAGCTGCTGGTTCAATGGGGCCTGCTGCTGGACAAAGCCCTCCATTTAGGGCATACCACAGCCCAGCAGTCGCGGTTAAAATAATCCCGCCGTGGAGGGGTTAATCAGCCATCTTTTGATTCTTTGTTTCCTAAAGATTTGATGATTATTGTGATAGGAGTGTGAAACAACCAAATGTAATTTTGAACTTTGAGATGGCTCATCTGCCGACGTGTTTTTGGCAAAGTTCACATTTTATTTCTGCAAATCTTATGATGAGCTTTGCAGTGGCAGTCTTGGACAAAATGAAATTTACTATTTACAGTATTTATAAATTGTTGCCGGCCAGTTTCCAGTTTCCCTCTGAAATTGAACGATGCATGACCTCCTTTGGAAGTGAATACTGTTTTTATTTTCATGTCGTCCTTCAACATTGCGAAAAAAAGTCTGGCTTTAATTTAAAATGGACCCCACAAAAACCTTATTATAGGGCAATTTCAGGCAAATGTGGAATTGGTCACACTGTCACCAAACTCATCACGATTTTTGACTCGTATTAAAAATGGAAAAAAAGGGTAAAGTTACTTCTCTTCAATTTTTGAAAAAGGTTTTTGTGGTTTATGAATAACAAATAATACCGGGGTCAGCAACAGCAGATGACAGTTTTCAACTTCAGAGGGGCATTGTCACTCACAGCAGTTGGGAAAAACCTAATTGTATACCATCTGACAAGTTTGACAAGGGATGTATCACTGAAATTGATTTCATACTATTTTTATTTGATTGGCAGGTAATTTGCAGTACTTATCAGTCTTGGAAATTAAACAATGAGCTCAAAACATTACGAATCAAATGCCAGACGTAACAAAGACAGACAAAAAAATGGACCCCAAATTTATAGAATGGTCTTAAATGTTATTAATGGCTGGATGTAGAGTTACATCTCCTTTGACATTTGTTGTTTATACTCACTCGGCTACCTCGTCCTCTCTTCTCAGGCCTTGGCCGAGACCAATGAGAACCTGCGCTTCCTCGGTACCCTGCTTCCCTGGTTTGAGAAACTCCACACCTCCTACACCACCAGAGACATGCTGAGGTTGTTTGGTCCCCTCATACACACCATGCTACTGGTGTGGTCGCATTCCAGGTAGGAAACGAGAAAACATACATACAAACCAGTACTGAAAAGTAAACTGTGGAGCCACACGTGACGTGGTTTGTCAAAACTGGGCAGATTTGGACGTGGACACAAATAGGGAAACAGACAAAAAGTGAGAGAGTGTAGTTTTTATCTTTTTTGAGATTTTTGAATATTTGTACTGACGTTTTCAAAATGCCAAAGTGAAATTTCCTCTTTACAGTAGTTTCCAGAACGTTTTGAAGGCCTTTTTGTCATTTTTCTTTGCATTTTGAACAGTGTGACTTCCAAATGTGATAACTTCACTTTCGAGTATCCAATTTCAAAAAACCAAGTAACTTTTGAAGGGGGTCTGGTCCAGATTTTTTTATAGCCCAACAAGCCAAAATTGACTTCTTGCCTTGACGTGCAGGATTTGGATAGACCACATCATGTACATGTATGTACCTATAAAGCAACACTTCCAAAACTAACTTCTAGAACCAACTTGTGAAGGGAAAAGAAGGGCAGGGCACTGCGGTCTACATTCAAGTGAGTCCATGTCCAAGAGTTGTGGCTGTGGCTAATAGTAACACATGCATCTATGGAAGTCACTGGAAGCCAATGGTTCATATTTGTGCATGTTGCTCCTGGCCACAGCCATTTGATTTAACCCAGTCCAGTTGAACACAACCCAACTCAACCTAACCTAATCTAACCCAACCCAATCCCATCCCATCCCCCATCCCATCCCCCATCCCATCCCCCATCCCATCCCCCA